GTCTCAAAAAAAAAAAAAAAAAAGAGTTGCACTCTCCTCTCTGATGAATCCACCCTATTTGCACTCCAATTTCCAGGCCGAATTCTCTCTCTCTTAACTGACTCCTCTGACCCCTGGAAAATCGTTATTCTGTTGTGGTTTAATTCCATGGCCATCCCTCAGTTTCTGGTTAAAATAATTGTTTGATCAGCTCCTCAACCCTGATCTAGAAGTGCCTTCCCACCCAGGTTCTCGGGAGTCATTTCTCTTTTGTCTGAAAACAAGCACATGGCTCCAAAGTGGCTGGTGACGTCTCTTCTCCCTCTCCTGGCCGAGGCCCAGCAGGTTCTAGCAGGCCACGTCAGGTAACAGTAAGAGGAAGTCTGGATCACCACCAAAATATAACCATCACTGGTGTATACTGGGCACTTGCCAAGGGCTTTATACACCTTCTCCCCTGCAGCCTCACAATGGACTCTACGGAACTGTCTCAACCCACCTTTCCCAGGGGGGAACCAGGAATACAGATGAGACCCAGACCACTCAGTGGGCAAAAAAAAATCATTCATTAAACATAGTAAGGGTGAGTCCCGCTGCTTCAGCACTCCCCACAAGAGCCAGGCATCTATTAGGTTGATGCAAAGTAATTGAGGTTTTGGCCATTAAAAATAAATGATTAAAAATAGTGACAAAAAAGCCACAGTTACTTTTGCAACAACCTGATACACAGGAAAAACAAAGAGGAAAACAGCAAGTCCCATATGCCAGGTCCCATGAAGGGCACTGGAACAATGACCCTGGGAGCTGGCAATCAAGGAAACAGAGGAAGTAGCGTTCTTTGCTGAAGCACTGCACATCTGTATAATTTTATATGCATATTTATAATTTAAAATGTAGATAGTACTTTTCTAGGCTTCATTTGCTCTGAACAGAGGAAGTGGCATTCTTTGCTGAAGTACTGCATATTTGTATAATTTTATAGTATATTTATAATTTAAAATGTAGATAGTACTTTTCTGGGCTTCATTTGATCTGTTCCCATAATCATTATGATTTCTATGTTACAGCTAAGGAAACTGAAGCAGAGAGTTCACACTCCCAAGCACAGGAGGCTCATCTTTGTGTCCAGGGCACTCTTTTCTCTTCACGATGTTATCCTGAAGCTACATCATCTTTTGAAACATTAACACATGTTAAGTTTGTAACCACCCACCCTCCCACCCTTCCCCCAAAAAAGCTCAAATCTTAAGGGAGAGAATGCAGCTTCACTTTACTGATTTCACCCGATGACCCTCATGCATAAGACTAGGGTGTGATTCTTGGCCACTTGAAAGGTAGGATTTCCCCACTTACAATAAACATGGAACCATCTCCTGAAGTCTTCCTTGATACCCTCAACTAAAAGTTAAGGTTTTTCAACTCATTTTTTTTGGAAGCTGCATGGAGACAGCTCTGTGGCCATGAGAACAAATGCATTCCTCAGAGTACCCACGAGCAGAAAGAGCAACTGGAGAGGAGGTCTCGCGTGCTCACCTCCTGGGTGCCCGCCTCCACGTCAGTCATGGCGATCACAGAGAAATCCCCGTATCGGTCTCCGTTGGCATCTATGGACACCTGCCCGGCGATACCTACAGGACCGGAAGTGAAGAACTCAATGTTGGTTACTTAAAATACCTCTGTCTGCCAACAAAAACAAGAGAATGAATTGAAAGGATTTTTTAAACAAACTCATGCCACAGGGAATCTCATCAGACTCTGAGCATTTTTGTTGGCATTTTGGAAAGACATTGTAATTTCATCTGCGTCTGCATTCCTAAATTCTTAACATTTCTCCATTTAAAAATGAAAAGAAAAAGAAATAAATAATCTTCTTTGGGGTTATGTTTGAAAAAAGGTTAAGGCTAATCCTGGAAGCAGCATGCTTATCCCAGAGTTTTGTATTAATTTTTTTTGATTGCAGAGTTAGAAGTGAAGGTGGGGCACATTTATAGATTTGTCATGGGTTTGCATTATCGTTGGATGAATATTATAAAAGAAAAATCATTCCAGGCCTAGGACTCAGGGAATGTGCTTTTCTCCAGGCTGCTTTAATACACAGGAGAGCAACAGGCCTGCTTCGTGGGTCACCGGGGCCAATACCTAAGAAGAGCCATTCTTCTTTTTCCCAGTTGAGCTCTTCACTGATTGTTTATCCAAACGTTCTCTGCACGCTTAGTGCCGAATTAGTGCTGCAGCTGAAGCAAAGATGAATCGAACACATTCTCTGCTCAAGAAAGGGGCAGCCTGGACTGGGAATTTAGCTTGTTCACACCAGAATCTAACCACTTGCATTCAAATCCCAGATTTTACATTTACATAGCTCCATGACCTTGGACAAGGTACTTAGCCCTCTAGGCCTCAGTCTCCACAACTGTAAAATGAGCATAATAGTACCTCCCTACCAAGAGGCCACACAGATTAAATGAGATAAAACAAATACAGCACTTTCAACACTTTTAAGAGAAGTTAATTGTTTTCATCTACTGTTGTTATTACAATCACTATTATTACTACAATTTATTTTATAATTACTCTTGGTAAAGAACACCTGACCATGCCCACATCACTCAGAGGAGTAGCCAGAACATCAATTTGGAGAATCAGGGAGGATTCAGTGAAAGAGCAGGAATTTTATAGGGATGTTGGAGGAAGTCTAAGACTGGGCAAGCAGTAATCAAGAAATGGAAGAGAGGCTGAAAGCCCATCCTAGGTGTATCTACCAAGGCACAGAGGCCCAAAGAGACCAGAGGAATTGTGAGATTTCTGGGAAGATGGTCCATCAGGATAAAGGGAGTCAGTGATACAGAAGGCCAGAACAGGGTGGCCTGTCTATATCAGCCTGCGCAGTGGCTCACGCCTGTAATCCCAGCACTTTGGAAGGCTGAGGAGGGCAGATCACGAGGTCAGGAGATCGAGACTACCCTGGCCAACATGGTGAAACCCCACCTCTACTAAAGATACAAAACATTAGCTGGAGATGCTAGTGTGCACCTGTAATCCCACCTACTTGGGAGGCTGAGGCAGGAGAATCACTTGAATCAGAGAGGTGGAGGTTGCAGTGAGCCGAGATCACGCCACTGCACACCAGCCTAGGCAACAGAGTGAGACTCCGTCTCAAGAAAAAATATATATATGTCTATATCATAATTTTCATTCACTAAATAAGAGAATGCATACATCAGTCCCATTCTAATTAACTAAAGCTATTTCCTTTTCAACAGGGGAGAGTTCAGTGTAATTTTTAATTGGCCTTTCTATTGATTTGGTTCTCTCTGGAAGTACTGACTCTTCAAGTAAAATGAATGTCTGGGAAAAAGGATCCCAAGGGAAAGTTCCATCCTCCAGTGTGGCTTGGAGAGGGCAGGTATTTGGGTTTACTGTCCTTTGGGTTGTGGTTTGAAGGCCCACTGATTTTTCCAGACTTTGGTTTACTTTGCCGGAAACAGAATGGAAGTTACCATTGACTTTGATTTTTTTGTCTTCTTAATATAGACTGGTTACAAAGGGTCACTGATCATAAACTTGTGCATCCTTGACAGCCTATAAAACTCTTAAGTGATAAATACGTTTAAAAAAAAAAAACTTATTGACCATCCACAACCATATGTCATTCTGTTGAGAGTTGTTTGTGATGTTGTGTCCTGCTAAGTATTTTGCAGAGTATTTTATAAGATGAGATGGTCCTCATAATTTACGACCTCATTATACCTTTAAGCTATTGCAATTCTGCCAAGAAATGGGGTGAGAATCCTCAGCGTGGCCAATTAGCATAGTGAGACTTCACCTAAGAGTATCATACATACGGTGAGATTGTCAGTCTTACAGCAGAATTTTCCTGCACATAAGTAATGAGACTTTCCACTCTCATTTCCATTTGCCTGTAGTGGGGCTCAAAGTTTAAGCCACAGTCCTATTTACCTTGTCACTCTGACCTCTCACACAGAAGAAATCCAGTCTCTTCCCAGGCCATTTATTGAAATGAGAGTTGATCACAGGTTTCATGGCAATAAAAGCCAAATTTGTCAAATCGCAGCCAGAGTATTTTTCCCCTTGACAACTTAATGGTCACTTAAAGGTGACTATTAAAGTTAAAATTGTTTTTAATTTTAGGAAGTTTTGGGTTTTTCTTCATACAGATACCTTAGAGTTCCTTTTAGGCCTACAATCCAATGGACCACTGTTTAGCAAATAAAATGGGCTCTCTAAGCAATTCAAGCCGAAAACTTACTTTAGTCTCAATTATCTTTACATTCGAACAGATGAGATTCTAATTGTAGACTGAACTACACAGTTGATTGGTTCAGGACGAAACTGATCCCTTATACTGATATCCCTAATTCTCTTTATTGCATGTGTAGACCTGGCCCTAGAATAGGGACATTAAGATGGCCTATGGGAAAACTAAGCCCAGGCCCTAGCTCTAACTAAAATACATTCCAGCCATCATGGCCATCTACCCTTCCCTTAACGACCTCCCTCAGTGGCGCCCTCCAGCATCCCCCACCTCTGGCTCCTGTCCCTCTGTCAGAAGACCAAGAACAAATGACCACACCATGTAGTGAGTAATAGCTAAGAATGGGATGTGGCCGACCGAGGTTGTGTCCACAGATGCCATGTTCTCAGTGTATTGTGCAAAACTTCTGGGAAATTTGGCTTTGTCCTAATATGACCCCTGAATTTTCCTATTGGATTCCAGCTCCTCAACTGAAGCAGTCAGAAGTAAAGCGAGATAGTCCTGGAGGCCTACTCACCCATGGACTACAATCTGGCTAACGCTAAGGAAGGTGTCACTCTGGTTTTGAGTAAGACATGGCATCCACTAAAACCACCAGAGAGAAATGAAATCCAATTGCCCACGGTAGCTATTGCCCAGACAACTCCAGCAGGAGCTCAACCTCTCCCTACTGCCTGTCCTGCCCTCTCTAAGAACTGAGGACAACCTGAGGGAGTGGAGGCCCAGGAGTCCCATCTGAAAAAACACATACCCCAAATCTAAACTTGGCAGTACTTGCTCCCGCCATTGAAAAACGTCACTAGTTGGATTACAAATAGATACAGGCATACCCCAATGCATGAAAGGGCTCAAAGGAAGAGTGAGCATGATGTAAAACGGAAAGAGCTCTTGTTAGTCATTAACTGGCCTAACCTCCTCATCATACAGGTAAAGAAAGAGAAGCTCAGAGGACAAGGTTACTAGTTAGTGGGGGATGCAGGTTTTTCTGAACCCCAGTTCAGCAATTTTTACTGTTACCACTTCTCAAGTGATACCCATAAGCATATATAGTTTATTTTCCACAGAGCAGCCATAAGAACCCCTTTTAAACATAGAAGGCAGATCATGTCACTCAAAAGCCTCAGGTGACTTTCTGTCTCACCCAGGTAGAGCCCAAAGACCTCAGCGAGGCTCCCAGGTCTGCATGATCTGGCCCCATTACCTCTTGGGCTTTGGCAACGATCACGCTGCCTCTCACACATGGTGTCCACGCTGGCCATGTTGCTCTCTCGGGACACTCTACAGTCTCCCAGATGCACTCATCTTCATGTTTGCCACTCCCTCTGGAATTCTCTCTCCTAAACATCTACAGAGCTTCCCCCTCACTTCCCTTGGGTCTCTTCTCAACTTCGTTCTCACAGAGACCTTCCCCGACCACTCGAAACTAGCAGTCCCACTCCTCCTTGCTGGCACTTTCCAGCTCCCTATCCTACCTTATTTTATAGCCCTGAAAGGTGTACTGTATTCATTGTTTGTTGCTTTTTCCCCTCACTAGCATGTAAGCTCAAATGATTGCATGAAATGTCTTTAGTTCACTGCTGAATCCTCAGCACCTTGAACAGCACCTGGCATATAGTAGGTGCTCAATGAACATTGTTGAATGAATAAATGAATATGAAGTTGATATCTGTGTTATCCCTGCTTTACAGCTGAGAAAAGCAAGATGTTGGAAAGGCCCCACAGCTGCAACAGAGAAAAACAGAACCAGAAAAGAAGCAGCTCAATTGGCCCCATGTCATTGCCTTATAGATGGAATCCCCACCTTCAAAAGTTCTGTTCCATGTCTGCTGGATAATTTTCCCTCCATCCTTCTTGCTGTAACCAGCTCTGAGTACTTCATGTAGAGCCAAGACATAGAGGAGGATGGCATCGTGGAATCCTTCAACAAACATGTTAACCTGTAAAGAAAACCACAGATGGGTGAGCCAAAGCACCACATGACTCATGTCAGAAATAAGATGAGCAATCCAAAGGATTAACGAGTTATACTTGAAGTCTGTTAGCCTTGGCACAGGTGGGCAGAGGGGGCACTAACAAGAATCATGCCATGAATTTCCTGGCATGGCTCAGGGGAGAAACCCTTCCTCAGTTGGGGAATTTGGAGAGCCTATTTCAGAAGTCAAGAAAACTGTACCCATTGGCCAGGTCAAGTATTTCAAGTGTGCCCACCTTTGCCAATGGTCCCATTTGGACAAGTCCCCTCCTCCTTCCTTACATCTGCCTCTATCTCAAGCTTATATGAGTTCAGCATCCCCCTTGAAGTCTACCTCACCTTTAACAGCCCCACAATCTCTCCGTTCTCTGAATGTGGAGCATAACTAAGAAACAGTAGGGATCCATTCGCTTATATTTAGCAACTGTTGATACCTACCAGAGTGCTGATGCTTTGGGTGCAAAGAAGAGTGGACGCTGTAACTTCTGCCTGCCTGCCTAGCATTTGTGTGCTGTCTAACATTAGTAATAATGTCTCAGTCTCTCTTTCCAATTTGTGTTTTGGGTACATCTAACCGCTCCCCATCCCTATCTAAGGACAGGAGTGGAAAATAGGCTTGGACTATTGGGTTATCCCAGTTGAGCCCTGACTCAAATAATACAGCCCTTGCCCTCAGGAAACCTAAAGTTTTATAATGTAAACACTGGTCATGTGGACTTAGGGAAGTCACTTCATCTCTTCGAGCTTTGCTCTTATCATCTGTATATTGACCATGAGACTAGTACCTTATTTCAAGAGGTAGTTGTAAGAATGCTGTTAAATAAAATGCTTGGTATTATCATGCCTGGCACACATCAAATTCTCAACAAATAGAAGCGAAGGCTATCATGATATTTCATAAGCTCTAAAGTATTGGAGTCTCTGCTGTGCTCGTGGTCTGTTCAGAATACAGTATAAATACCAGAAAGGGAGTGGTCCATCTGACGGGCTGGAGAAGAACAGCAAGAGAGGCTTAAAAGCAGTGACAAAAGCTGAACTGAGTTTTGAAGATGAAGAGATGTTTCTCAGGTGCAGGCAAAGACACAGTCAGGGCACATTTTCACAGCCTGGTATATGTGGGGAACTGTAAATGTTTTACTAAGCTGGGAGCAGGAGAAACAGGGTCACACCAAGAGACAGGGATGGAGAGGTAAGGAGAGTCAGATCATCGAGAATCCAGAGACCACGCCGAGGAACTTGGACTGTCTTCAGCAGGCACCCAATCACGTTAGTTCACCCCTTACCTACATTAAAAGCAGACTTTGGTAAATTCCAGTACCACATTTAAACCCATTATAACATTCATTGGATATGAAATGAGCAAATACAATCTTGAAACACCAAAAGGCTTAAACAAACTCCAAAACAAACTCTATACAAAAAGTACAAAAAATCCAAGACTTCTTATATCAGAAAAAAGTGTCAATAATGAAATGCCAATGATGCAGAATGAACTGGGCATTCTGTAGATGACCACCTGACACGGCTTAGTGGGGAAAACCCACTAACCGCCGCATCTCTAGAAGGAAGCCTTGTGGGAAGAGAGGCGCAACTGACCTTCTGCATCACCTGATTCAGAGGCACAGACATTCACAACAGACACAGCTCAGCTACTGGATCTACTTGACCTTATCCCACCCCTAGGATGGGGAGTCCTGTTTGCATCACAGAAGCAGGTATTTCAGGTTTGCCAAAACCTAGTGCTGAGAAGCAGTCTAAAATAATGGTTAAAAATCCTGGGCCGCCTTTCCAGCTCTGCCACTTCTAGTTGTGTTCTGGTTTCCTCATCTGGAAAATGAGAAAAATAACAGTGCCTATCTTATGGGGATGTCATTAGGTTGAAACAGATTAATAAATGTAAAAAGACTTCAAATAGTGTCTGGCAGAGTCAGCATTCACTGTCGGCTTTCGAAACTAAGCAGGATCTCTAAGGTCTAGAGATAGAGAATTATTCACTTAGAGATCCTTCTCAGTTCCAAATTCTTATTCAAAAAACAAGTGGTTTTCTTACAGGTATCACATATGTTATTGGTCCCTTTTACACTCGGTGGGAGAGAAGGCTACTGTTCATGCTGTTCGTACCCTAGACAGTTCTCTTTCTTCCACAACACCAAGCTCTTTATTCCACTCTAGTATGGCAGGTGCAGTTCAAGTGGTCATCTGCTGACCCTCTGCAAAAGGCGGAGGGTGGTGGGAAGGGGAGCTGGTTTGCAAGAGAGCTTGGAGTTAGCTGGCTGGACACACAGTCCAGTCCTAGCCCTGACAGGCTACTTAATCTCTCTAATCTTCAGTTTCCTCATCTGTTAAGTGGGGGTTTAGTACCATCAGAGAGCTCTTCTGAGGATTAAATGAACTAGTGCATGTAAAACACCGAAAATAGTTCCTGGGACCATAGAAGCAACTGATAGATTCTGGCTCTTACTCTTAGCTGTTGAGCTTAAATGTCAGGGTGATTATTTCTTCAGTCAAAGAAAAATAAAGTAGAAATAACATCTACTAGTTAAAGAGTTTTCTGCTCATTTAGCTATGCCACTTTGATTTTCCAGAGGAATATGCAATTTCCACTTAGGCCATGAAGTCGTTATGGCTTGAGAAAGTCTACATGCTGATGAATTCTAATAAGCAAACTTTAGCGGTGTAATTTCATTCTCAGGCCACAGTTTTTTTAAAGTTTAAGGTCTATCTTCTCTTTGATAATTTTATAGCAGCCGGCCTGCTACAGGGGGAAGTCAGAGAATCACAGATTCATGGCCTGTGGGTGATGCCAGGTGCCCTCCAAAAGCTCTGATCAAATCCCCTTCTTACTCTGAAGATTGAAAGAGCATTCATTGCTTTCCTCAGTCTTCCTGCATTCTGCACTTCTTGTACAAGGGTTGTGCCCTGCAAGCTCCTTGTTCCTGGGGTTCTCAAGACAGGCCTTGCTTAAATTCTGAAGCACCAGCCATTGGGCATCACCCACCCACTTCTCATCCTACTCCTTCCGTTCCCTCCTCGAAATTCTAACCCAGGACCAAAGGGTTGATGTTGATCACCAAAGGACTGACTATGCGCCCAGCACCACATCCTGTCTAGCCCTTCCCCTTCCTTCCTCCTTGACATGCCATCTGAGCTGCCCCCTCTACAATCCAGGATAGGAAGAAAGATTACGTGGTGGAGAACAATGAACTTGAGTTACTTTTGTCCTTACAGGTTTGATAGTAGAAGAAAATAGACAGGCCCTGAATACGTGCCCAGGTCTGAAAACACATTCTAGCTTGATTTGCAGATGGATCACAAAATTTACCTTCTTTCTTCTCAGGGTGGCTGAGTGTCTCCCTCTCCTGCCAAAATTAGCAGGAGAGCTGCTGACCCCACTGAGGTTCGCTGGCACCCACCCACTGCGGGGGAGGTTTCATAACACCTACCTCATAGGACCTCAAGCCAGAAGCGAAGCCCAAAAGACTGGTTTTTCTCAAGAAGAACATTCGCATTCTACACGTGATTCTTAGTGGGAGGAAAGCCCATTAACATGTTGTAGACAATGAAAATTAAATGTGCAAATTAAGAAAATATAAGAGAGGGAAAAAAAGTATGAAGTTGCCTTAGGAACACTTTCTATGGAACCTCCAGGCTGAAAGGAGCAAGATCAGCTGATGTGTCCCCTGCCTGTGGACAGAACAACACTTGAACCTCAACGTCCAAGTCCTGACTAACACAGGTCATGCTGTCATTACCTACACAGGTAACAGGTGGGATTCCCACAAGGAGCATCCTGTTCTAGTAATTAGCATCGTTTATTGCCAGGAAGTTTTCCTTACCGTCATCAGCCCTAAGTCCTAATTAAGTTCCTACATGCAGCCATTTCCTCTACTAGATGCTCCGAAAACTGGGAGAAGAGAACAATGCAGTTTCCAATCTCCACCAAACAGCACCGCTGTTACCTATGAACACACAGATGGGCTCTGCGCATGCGTGTTGCAAAGTTGTGACATGGGCCTCGCTGGGAGCCAAGCTCCGGGGTAATCATTATTGGTGCCGTTTATCAAACAAAGTAGACTTCCAACGAGATGAAAAGCATTCACCATTTTCCACTCATTCTTGCCAGAACAAGTTAGCATGACAAGAGGGCATTAACTTTCTTTCATTTCTACTTCCTTTTTTTTGAAACAGAGTCTCACTTTGTCACCCAGGCTGGAGTGCAGTGATGCAATCTCAGCTCACTGCAGCCTTGGCCTCCCCTGTTCAAGTGATCCTCCTGCTTCAGCCCCCAAAAGTAGCTGGGATTACAGGCATGCACCAGCAAATCTGGTTAATTTTTGTATTTTTTGTAGAGACGTGGTTTCGCCATGTTGCCCAGGCTGGTCTCAAACTGAAGCTCAAGTGATCCGCACACCTCAGCCTCCCCAAGTGCTGAGATTACAGGCATGAGCCACTGTGCCAGGCCTGTCATCTCCATTCTCTTGATTCTGTCCTCTGCAGCAGGTCAGAATGGAAGAACACTGTTTTTGCCCCGGCCTTCCTGTCTGAAAGCACCCGCCAGCCACATCTATTTATTAGTGATTTTTTAGATCCTCTATCATGAGGACAGCTGAATAGAAATCATGTTGTTGCTGCTTTTATTTTCTAACTGATCATAAAGGGTCGCTGCTCATGGCCTGGCTCCCAACAGTGGCAGCGAGCCATGGTGCTCTCACTTCTCTCTGAAGACACAAATTCATAGTGAGATCAATTCCTCAGTGCCTGTGCTCCAAACAAGTCAGTGTAGAATGCTGCGGGCCTCAGCTGTTCTGTAAAGTGAGAGTGATCCAGCTCTCGGAGATGCCTGGATATCTGAGAAAGCCTGTCGAGCTCTCAGATAGAGACTGCTGGAAGAAAATCACCACGTTCAAAGCTCAGCGAGGCTATCCTGGCGCTTTGCCTGTGGTGTTCACAGGAACTCAAGCATAG